CAGGCAGTCGAGCTCAATATGAGAAGTAGACTGATATTGCTTGTGACTTACAGTATAGGATACATAATGTCTTGGTGATTTAGGTTTCTATTTCATATGCGGTTAATATGCTTGTCAGTTGACTTCGTGCGTGCGTGTCTGTGTGAATGTGTATGATCATGTGTATGCGTTGTGTTGTGTGCGTATGCGTTTTCATTCATGTTTCCATTGCATTAATAACACATGTCTGTGGGGTTTAAAAATTGGGATCAAACTATCATTTCCGAGAAGGTTCTTTGCGCACTCAGTGAGTGTGTCCATTCGAACTGGATTTGATGGAATTGACCTGTTTTTATATCACACAGATTGTGTTGTTTCATGTAACAGTTGGATGATTCAGAAATTATGCTATTGAGCTCCCCCCCATGCTAGGCAGGGGATGCGGTAGCATAGGGTCTGCGTCAATTAACTGTTACGCACTTCCATCATGCTGTGCATTTATTTCATTACGGTACCGGTAGTACCGTGTATGCATTATACTTATGCATTTGCATTTACTTCATCTACTTATAACAACAGCAGACATATGCATCACGGAATAAACAGTTATGCATTCACAGTACATCATTTTGGCAACTCATGAAATATAGGTTCAGTCAAAGTAAACTAGGAAATGAGAAGGAATGTGGTTCAGCACGTGGTAAATTGACGCGGCAGATACATAGCAGTCAGTCATTTAGCTAGTACCGTTCACTATATTTTTTCCCTCTATTTTTTAAAGGTATTGAGGATTGAAAAAAAAAATTGTACATAACGATTGTAATAGGTTGCTTCGCAACCCAAAAAAAAAAAAAAAAAATTGTACCGGAGTGTCAGTGGAGGAAATGTTGAATGGAGCAGAGAATAATTGTAAGGTGGTAGATTACTTCATTGGGAATATGAAAAGACCTGTGTTGAGCTGGTCAATGTGATAGACCTGGAGGTATTTATCCCTCTGCACACTTTTACATACATTTGCTTAGCGCACCAGGATTCTAAAACACCTATAATTGCTGCACGAACAAGGACTTGCGCAACGCCTGGCCACGAAATTTGCACCTGGCAAATACCCCGGGACACATCTCTTCAAAGGTTCATTGATGCAATTGCCTTGCGGTCACCACACATCTCCTGACACATCTGTTTTATAGAACTGTGGTGCGAGCTCAGGCAACCAGAGAGCATCAATGCGGGTGACACCGCGAGCGAGCATACAGCCAGTTGGTGCGAACCATTTCATTAAACACTATGCAGTCCAGCAAATGCGCATGTGCAGGTGCTGCCATTCATTACACATGGGTTTTATAGAATTGCGGTGCAAGTTCAGGCAGCCAGAGGGCATCAATGCGGGTGACACCGCGAGCATACAGCCTGTTGGTGCGAACCATCTCATTGAACACTATGCAGTCCGGCAGATGTGCACGTGCAGGTGCTGCCTGCTGCTCGCCCCCACTCTTGCTGCTCTTGCTGCGGTTGCTGCCGCCACCCCCCTCTGCTGCCACCAATGGTGGTGCTGCTGGTGGCGGCGCCGCTGAAGAGAACGGAGGATGGGTGGATTGCCACCACCTGCCCGCTTGCTAGTGCCCTGAGAGGAGAGGGATCACAGGGGGGAAGGGCGAGAGGAGAGGGAGCACAGGGGGGAAGGGCGAGAGGAGAGGGAGCACAGGGGGGAAGGGCGAGAGGAGGATGCCGGTGTGCTTCAATAGTGAAGGCAGGCAGAGGTTGGGTAAATCGCCACCACCTGCCCGCTTGCTAGTGCCCTGGAAGGCGAGGGCACAGGTGAGAAGGCAGAGAGGCGGGCAATATGAAGGCAGGCAGAACGTGGTGGCGGTAACAAGGCCGGGGGGGGCTGAGGAGCAGAGCATCTGAGAGCATGGCACCTGAGAGCATGACACCTGAGAGCATGGCACCTGAGAGCATGGCACCTGAGAGCACAGCACCTGAGAGCATGGCACCTGAGAGCATGGCACCTGAGAGCATGGCACCTGAGAGCACAGCACCTGAGAGCATGGCACCTGAGAGCATGGCACCTGAGAGCATGGCACCTGAGAGCACAGCACCTGAGAGCATGGCACCTGAGAGCATGGCACCTGAGAGCACAGCACCTGAGAGCATGGCACCTGAGAGCATGGCACCTGAGAGCATGGCACCTGAGAGCATGGCACCTGAGAGCACAGCACCTGAGAGTGGTGTGCGCATGAGGGTGCATGAGGCTATCACTGCATTCTCATGCGCACATCTGTAAGGTCCCGCACGCAACATGCACGGCCCTTGAGGCGCCTCAGAAATCACATCTGTGCGGCGGAGCACTCAACAAGTACTGGTCCTTCCACCCTCCCAAGATGTTGTTGCCCACCCTCAGGTTGCACGTGCCCACCCTCAGGGCCTCACGTACCAGCACGTGCCCACCCTCAGGGCCTCACGTACCAGCACGTGCCCGCCCTCAGGTACCTGTATGTGCCGTCGGCTTGCTTCTTGGCAGCGTTGGCAAAGAAGGCTGCTGTCAGCGCCCGGCGAAACGCAACCGACTCGTCCCGCCGCTGCGCTGCTGCTGCTGCTGCTGTGCCCGTGGCCGCGAGTCCTGATGACGACGATGGAGGTGGAGGCGAGTTGGAGACAACAGGTAGAGAGAGGCCGTGACAGTACGCTTGCAATTGCCTGCGGTGAATACGGCACGGGCGTGCGGGACATGCAGATTGGACATGCAGAGAGGAGGAGAGGAGAGAGGGACGTGCAGATTGGAGAAAAGGAGTGAGGGAGATGCAGAGAGGAGGAGTGGAGAGTGAGGGACATGCAGACAGTTATGATCCTGGGTGGACAAGTGCCTTCTTTTGAAACCATTCCGACCGTAAACCTCAAACAGAAGAAGATTAAGGCCCAGCCATGCATGGCCCGTGCATTCTCACCAGCCATCCATGGGCCGTGCATTCTCACCGATACACGTCTGCCCCACTCTCACCGATACACATCTGCCCCACTCTCACCGATACACATCTGCTGCCTTTTTTAGAGAGCGTCCATTGAGGTAGTGTGCCTTGCACCATGCCCGCACCCTCCCCTCCCTCGCCTTCGCCTGTCGCCCAAACCCCGGACCCCCACCACGACGACTCCCATCTTTGTTGCTCCCGTCATCTGCCACGTCATCAGCCTTGGTGTTTTGGCTGCCCGCTGCCAGATAACCCCGCAGAACGTTCACCAGCGTGAGATGGTCGCCATCCGGGCAAAAAATCTCTTTCGGGCAGCATGAGCCTGTGAGCGAGGCAACAGATTATGTAACAGGGATGTGGAGAAAAAAGTGAAGGGAATGAAAGGAGTGATTATGTTACACAGATTATGTAACGCCATCACAAGAAGCCCCATTCAATCTCATGACATCTCAGCATGATGACTTGGATCAAGCAATGTCAGTCAGTGCAACATTGGCCATGTGACATGAGCAACAGCTATGCCATGCCAAGTCAGCAGCAGCAATACATGAGCAGCAGCATTACCTCAGCAGCAGCATGCGAGGGCGTATGGAAGGGCGAGTCCACAGAGAGCATGGCCACTGCTGCCACCATGTCGTCTGCCACTGCTGCTGATCCAAGGCGATATGCCTCCAGTATGGCCTGTGGAGGAGGGGAAGGGAAGGGGGGGAAGCGGAGGGAGCGAGGGACAATGATGGGTGTGAGCATAACGAGTGCAGAGGATGGTTGTGCCTGCTGCTGCCACATGCTGTCCGCCGCCACTGCTGTCCCCAGTCGATATGCTTCCAGTATGGCCTGGTGAGGTGGGGGGGGCGAGGGAGGTGGAGTGGAAAGAGTGACACTGACGGCTGGGTGGATAACAAGCATGGAAACTGGGAATGGTCGCTTTCGTGTGCTCGATGCTACCACCATGTCGCCTGCCACTGCTGCTGACCCAAGGCCATACGCATCCAGTATGGCCTGGAGGAGGGGGAGGGGAGGGGGCAGAGTGAGAGGGGTGCTCCGCCTCATACTGCTGCACCTCCTCATACTGCTGGACCTCCTCATACTGCTGGACCTCCTCATACTTCTGGACCTCCTCATACTGCTGGACCTCCTCATACTGCCGGGCCTGCAGCAGCACTGTCGATGAAGGAGCGGATGGTGAGGAGGAGCATGCTCTTTCCCCGCGGCACAAGCACGGCGCATTGGTCACCTGCTGTGTGCTCACCTGTGTGCACTCGCTCACCCACCTCAGCATGAACTCGCCCACCCACCTGAGTTTCAGACATGTCTCAGTGAGCTGCGTGCGTGCAGTAGGCTTAAAGCAAAGGATATACAGCAGCAAAATTCCGCTCTTGTGTAAAACTAAGTGCTCAGAACGATCTCAGAACCCAAACACTTAGCAGTAGAGTAAAACATGGACAAACATGTTTCGGCCGAGAGGGAAGGACCCTCTCGAACCTTCATCAGTGCCAACAATGAGAAAGAAGGGCTAAGCAATGCCTCTAAATAGAAACAAAGCTTCCAAGAAAGCGAACTCTAGGCTATCCACACCAGGTCACCCAAGTGACGGGGACCAATCCGACTGCCCTCGAAAACTTCAGGCAGCCACGTCTTCAGCGTCCTCGAAAGTGTCAGCGTGAAGGGTTGGGTTCAGATTTCGCCAGGGGGCAACTCTGAAAGTCGCGCACGCACCAGTAACCGCTGTAGGTTACAACCAATTTTTCACGCAACAAACATTCTCTCCACATGTAATCCGCATGTGTTGAGACGATTTTTGAGTCGACACAAAAATCGCCTCGGCATGAACTCGCCCACGCACCTTGGCGAAGACGGGGTCGAGGGGGAAGCGCGCCATGTGTTTCCCCTGTGGCGACAGGCTCCCGTCTGGTGTGAGCGCTCCCAGCGAGAACAGATGCTCCAAAGCTCGCAGTATGGCCGCCCTGTCAGGGGGGAGGGAGTGTACAGAGGGGTGAGAGAAGGGGGTGAAGAGCGGGAAGCGGGCCATGTGTTTGCCCTGTGCTGACAGCCGGCCCTGTGGCGTGAGCGCTCCCTAAGCGAACAGATGCTCCAGCGCCCGCAGTCTTGGCGCCCTGGAAGGGGGAGGGGACACAGGAGGGAGAGAAGGGGGAAGGAGGAAAGAAGCATGAGAGACTGGTAGTGCGGATGGATGAAGGGGAGTGCTGGATGGTCAAAAGCCTCAGAGGTGACTTTTGAGTCGACTCATAAGGGGAGTGCTGGATGGTCAAAAGCCTCAGAGGTTTTTGTAGAGGGGACGCTGGAGGGTGTTAGAGAGAGCGATGAGTTGCATTGCAGCACAACAGCGCTGCTAGGCCTTCAGGGCCTTCACGGCCGTTTCCAGCACCTGCAGTCCTGACCTGACAACAAGTCAAGGCGAGACACAAAAACAAACCACTCACTGCGGTGGCGGGTCGAGGAAGGGGAAGGAGAGCAGGTCCTTGACCCCGAGGGCGATGAGTTGCAGCACGACAGCAGCGAGGTTGCAGCGCAGCATCTCCGGCACGGGCGCCTCTGGCAGCGCGTCGAACGTGCCCTCTGTGTACAGCCGGTAGCACTTGCCCGGCGCCTCCCTGCCCGCTCGCCCACTGCAGGAGCGGATGGAACGTGGGAGGGAGGCAATGGATGGAGGCATGGAGGGAGGGAGGCAATGGATGGAGGCATGGAGGGAGGGAGGCAATGGATGGAGGCATGGAGGGAGGGAGGCAATGGATGGAGGCATGGAGGGAGGGAGGCAATGGAGGCATGGAGGGAGGGAGTCGAGCGCGGTGCTGAGTGGGAGTGGAGAGTGGGAGGGAGCAGACAGGGCGCAAAGGCAGAGGCCACTCGGTTGCACCTTCACCAGTGATGCCTGGAGGTTGCACCTTCACCAGTGATGCCTGGAGGTTGCACCTTCACCAGTGATGCCTGGAGGTTGAGATGAGGTTAATAAAACCACATGCAGTGTTCCCCCACCCCCACCACATGCCCCCGACCTTCTCAGCCCACAGTTGCTCCCACCTCCTTCCTCTGCCCACTTTCGAACCACCCAACCCAACCTCCCCGCACCTCCCTCCGCCCATGCATACCCCCCCCCCCCTCCCCGCCCCTTCTCTGGGGGGCCTGCGGCCGTGCGCCTTGGACATGGGCACAGCGACGAGCCAGTCAACACCGGTTGAATGCCCTTGCCTTCTCCTGCTTGCCTTCCCGCACTGCATGTACCAACCTCCTCCGCGCACCCATGCCTCCCACCCTCCACCTACCCGCACCCACACATGCCCCTTCACGGTTCACCACACACCTCCTCTGCCGGGCCTGTGTCTTAAACACGGGCACGACCACCAGAGAGTCAACACCCGTTGAGCGCCCCTGCAGTGCAAGCCCCCCATGCCCAACACCCCCGTACCTCCGCGCACCTTCTCTGGCGGGCCTGTGCCTTGGACACGGGCACGACCACCAGCGAGTCAACACCCGTGCGGCAGTTGAACGCCCGCGCCTTCACCAGCCCCGCATCCACCACGAAGCGGATGCCTGGGATCGTCACTGACGTCTCGGCGATGTTGGTCGCTAGAACGACCTGGGGGAGAGGAGCGAGCGGCATGCAGAGAGTGGGGGAGGTTGGGTGCAGGCAGAGGGAGGGGATTGGAGCGGGGGGGAAAGAGTGAGGGAGAGGAGGAAGGCTTGCTTGCTTCCATTTCACACCACACGCCTGGTGTGGACAGGAGTGTGCGATGCTGGGTGTGGACAGGAGTGTGCGATGCTGGGTGGGGGAACGAGCAGAGTGGTGGAAGCAGTCGAAAGGTGAACGCTGGAGGGACGACGGGCAGAGATGAGAGGAAAGAGCTGATAGGAGCACACGGCACTGCATCACTTGGTTGAAAGTGGGCCGGGGAAGGATGAGCAGCTGCAGCATAATCAGTAATCTACTGAAGGTGATGCATTTCAGTTCACCCTGCCACTTATTGTCACCCTGTCCCTACATGTCACCGCCACCCTGCCCAAGCTTCCACTCCACGCCCGACCTCTAAACCAGCAGCCCATCTCCTAACCCCCACCTCACCCCTCCATCCGCGCTGCACCGCACTGCACCTTTCTGGACCCAGCGGGTGCGGGGCGGAACACGTTCATCTGCTGCTCCGCCGGCAGCGCCGCATAGATGGGCGCCACCGCCAGCGGCGGCGTCCCGGGAGGAAGCTTCGCCGCACGTTCCTGCAGCAGCCTGGCCATGGCCTCTATATCCTCCTGCCCCGTGAGAAACACGAGAATATCCCCCGCCTGCCCCGGGGCTGTACCCTCTAGAGGGTGATCCGTGTGTATCTGTAACACGGTTACCAGCGCTGCGTCGAGAAAGTCAGGCTCGGGGGCGGGAGTGTAGAGCACCTGCACGGGGTGCTGCCTGCCGCGGATGTACACAGCGTGGGCGCCGGGGAAGAAGTCGAGGAACTTGCGCGACTCCAGGGTAGCCGACATGACTATCAGCTTCAACTCGCCCTCGCTTGCACCTGTGCCTGCACCTGCACCTGCACCTGCCACTACGCCTGTGCCTGTGCCTGTGCCTGCAGCAGCCTCCCCAATCTGCCCGTCCGCCTCTCTGTCTGCTTCCCCCTCCCTGCCCTCCTCTCCTCTCCGCCTCTTCTTCCCCTTCCGCCTCCCCGTGTCCCCATCCTCCGCCTCTCTCCCACCGTCCACCACCTTCCCCTTCTGCCCCTGCCCACCCATCCCTACACCCGCCTGCCCTGTGGCGAGCGCATGGCGGCGGGCCTGCACCTGCTGCAGCAGGCCCAGCAGCACGTCCGTGTTCACAGTGCGCTCGTGGGCCTCGTCCACCACCACCACGCCATACCGCTTCAAAAGAGGGTCCAAAAGTGCTTCCCTGGAGGTTGTGACATCGGGAATGTGGAAACAGGGTGTTGGTGCGTCTTGCACACCTGGGTGCTTCAATGTGCGCTCATGACCCTCGTCCACCACCACGCCATAGCAGCTCCATACAAGGGCCCACCAGAGCCAAAAAGGTCCACCAGAAGGAGCCACATGAAATCTGGGAGAAGGGTGTTTACTACCTTACTCGTCTGTCTGTCAGCCTCATCCTCACCACGTCTGTCTGTCTGCCTCATCCTCACCTCACCACGCCAAAGCAGTGTGGAAGAAGGTCCAATAAGGACAAGACAGGTTGCAAGGGACCATGGACACGGAATCACCAGAGCATTCACCTGAGCATTCACCTGAGCACTCACCTGAGCACTCACATGAGCACTCACCTGGGCACTCACCTGAGCACTCACCTGAGCACTCACCTGAGCACTCACCTGAGCATTCACCTGTGTGTTACTAAACATTACTTAGGCTCTACAGAACACCACCACCGCCGGTCGCACCTGAGCAGCATGCCGTTGGTGAGGTACTCGATGTGCATGCGTGGTGCGGGAGGAGGTGTCATGGAGTTGACCCGCGCACCACCAAGTACCACACTAAGTGCACCACACTGGGTGCACCAACTTAGCCCTCACCGCACCGCACCTGAGCAGCATGCCATGAGTGAGGTACTTGATGCGCGTGGTGTAGGTGGACGTGACATGGAGTTGACCTTCATGCCACAAAGCTCTGCACCACACTGGGTGCAGCACAGCACCCTGACCCGCACCTGAGCAGCATGCCATCAGTGAGTGAGGTACTTGATGCGCGTGTGCGAGCTGGTGACGTCCTCAAATCGCACGCTGTACCCCACCTCCTGCCCCACGCCCACGCCCCTCTCCTCCCTCCTCCGCCACCCTACGGAGCACTACATAATCCTCCCTCCCCTCACCTGAGAAGCATGCCATCGGTAAGATATTTAATGCGCGTGTGCGAGCTGGTGACGTCCTCGAATCGCACGCTGTAACCCACCTCCTGCCCCACGCCCACGCCCCTCTCCTCCGCCACGCGCGCCGCCACCGTCACTGCTGCCACTCTGCGCGCGGCTGTGTGACGGCGATGGCTTGGTGTGGGGCGAGCAGGCCCGATGAGAGGATGAACTGAGGGAGCTCTGCGGGGGAGAAGGAGAGGGAGTGAGGAAAAGAGTGAGAGTGAGAGAAGGAGAGAATGAGTTAGTGGGAGAGCATGTGAGGGGGAGTGAGATGGAGAGAGCGAGAGGGGGAGTGAGTGGGTGAGTCACGTCACTGCTGCCATCCACTGCGTTTGTGTGATGGCAATGGATTGGTGTGGCGCGAGCGAGCAGGCTGGAGGAAAGAATGAACTGGGGGAGCTCTGGGGGGGAGGGATACAGAGGGAAGTGGAGATGGCAAAGAGAGGGAGGCAAGGTGAGTGATAAGTGTCAGGCAGTGTTGCGTGTAAATGGAGCGACGAGTGGAGGATGGGGCCCTCTGGGGAAGGAGAAGGGGAGAAGGGAGGGACGGAGTGGTAGAGTGGGAGCAGGATATTGTGATGGTGATCCGTGGCGTGGGGAGAGCGGCTGGAGTGGGTGGCACTGGGCACAAGGAGGAGGGACTGACGAGGGTGCTTGAGGATAAGTGTAAGAGAGGAGGAGAGGGCAAGAGAGGAGGAGAGGGCAAGAGAGGAGGAGAGGGCAAGAGAGGAGGAGAGGGCAAGAGAGGAGGAGAGGGCAAGAGAGGAGGAGAGGGCAAGAGAGGAGGAGAGGGCAAGAGAGGAGGAGAGGGCAAGAGAGGAGGAGAGGGCAAGAGAGGAGGAGAGGGCAAGAGAGGGCGGGCGGGGGAAGGAGGGACTGACGAGTGGTCTTGCCGCTGCCGGTCTCGCCCACCACCACGAGTGTGTGTGCCGCCCGCACCTCCTCCACCAGCTGCTGCTGCACTGCCGTGCAGGGGCGGGTGGTTGTACGCGTTACAGGGCAATGAGACACAATTGGACGAGATATGAAAGCTAGAATTCCAGGACTGTATGAGGGCGTATTTGCGAAATAGCAAGGTTTCAAGTTTGCACAGACAGCAGAGCGGCAGAGGCTCTTTAGGGTGCAGTGAAGGGTTCTACAGGGTGTTGTGAATGGAGGCGAGTGGAGGGTGTTTAAGGGCGCTGGAGAGTAATGGAGGGTACTGGAGGGCAGTAGAAAATGATGATGGGTACCTGCACCCATGGGAATGCCGGTACCTGCAGCCATGGGAATGCCGTACCTGCACCCATGGGAATGCCGTACCTGCAGCCATGGGAATGCCGTACCTGCACCCATGGAATGCCGTACCTGCACCCATGGGAATGCCATACCTGCAGAGATGGGGAGCTCCTTAGCCATTTCCCTCGCCGCGCGCATCCGCTCCTCCCGCTCCGCGGGACTCACCCCGCGCGCACCTCTCGCTTGCCCATGCCGCCCGCCACTCGCGATCACAAAATCTCGGGGTTCTGGGTTTCGGGTTACGGGTTTAATGGGAAACCCAATTCTGGGTTTCACGAGAAACTCTTGTCGAATCTCAAAAGAGATCGGTGTGTGAAAGTACTGGAATCCGTCCCCCCCTCTGCAAGGCAACAGAGGATGCAATGCAGGCGCGTGAGGAGGGCGTGGGGTGCACAGAGGGCGTGGGTGCACAGAGGGGCGGGGGGGCGGAATGCAGCCGCGAAGATACGTGCCAGCCCCTGCTATGTCGTTAAAGTATGCCACCTGAGTCGCTGTCGCGCAACGCGGACTGCGATGTCGTTACTATTCGCAGAGTGGCAGCTCTAGTCGCAGGCCCTAGCGAAATAGCTCCATGCAGATTGAGCAACCACCGTGCGATGATAATCTCTCAATGCTTCTCCTCGAGTGGCTTGCGCGCGGACGCCTGCGAGTACGCGTGTCACACGAATTTAGTCCCTCAAAACCTCTGACTCAACCTTGCAAACATGGAATAATCGTAGTCATTTGCGAAGCCCCTATACTGCAAGTCGCCGGAATGCAGCACCTACGATGCTCAATAGCACTTATACTGTGATGTCTGTGCTGGCATGTACGAGTGAAAACTCATTCATCTGTGCTTCAATCTCACAACTTCACTACGGTTCATTCTTTTTCCTTAACACCTTGCTAAGATCCTCTTAGAGAAATAAATTGTGGTAGAAAGAACGCCCCCCCAGTTTGACAGCACCAATTGTTTCTCCACTCTTTCCATTACGACACCCTAATGCTGCTCACTCACAACTTCGCTATATCATGGATTGGCAATACCTTACAATTCTGCAAGAGATACCAATCCTTGAAGCAGGGTTCTCGTTATCAGACCAATTTGGTCTGATGGTCTGCGTTTAAGACTGGTTTTTTTGTATTCATCTTAATCCTAAGATTTTGTGTTTGTTCTCATCTGATCAGTAAGATTTGACTTTAAGTTCGTATGATTTTTCAGACGTGTAGAATTTTTATCTGAGGATAAAGATAGCGAAGTTCGGTTTCGTCTGAAACCGACAACTTGACCCACTAGGCCATAGGCCCAGTTGACCAGAGGACAGGGACCACCACGGGTACAGCCGATTGCTTGCCTTGTAACTGCACGCGCATTCATTACGCGGTGTCTTATACAGCTCTGTACTGCCTTGTGCAGCCTCGCTGGCATGTATCTGCGGCATATGCTGGCCAGGCGTTTGTCGTTTGGGGTGGCTTGTCGGCGCCGACGCCCAGCCACAGCCACGACAACGCGCTGTCCCGTTTGTGCCAGCGCATTTGCTATTCGTAGAGGGCAGCGCAACACATCACTGTGGTCGTAGTGCCCCCCGCTCCCAACACGCACGCCTTTCGGTTCTGAGTGCAGTGCAACGGTGAGATGGGGTTTCATGCAGCTGGGTCTGGCTTGAAAACAAGCCTGTTTCTCCTGCTCGTCCTCACCCTCCCCCCGCCGAGCATGGATCGTTTCCCTCCCAGCCAGGGCTCAGGTTTGAAGTGTAATTTACCCTTCTCCACTAGATGAGAAGGGTGAAATTTTCAGTCTACACTGATGGGCTGGGGTAAAATTTTGGGAGATTAGTGTTACCTGATATGTCAGTGTAATGATTTAGGCCACACTGATGCTCTGAGGTAAAATTTTCTTTAGCGAAGATTACCCTGAAGAGCGTACAGGGAACCCCCCTCCCCCCCCCCCCCCCCCCCTTTTCGGAAACTCAACCTATTGAGATGGTTCTCCGAAATTTCAAAACGGTACACCTAATTTCGTAATGATGCACTACGACGGCAGCACGTGAGTACTGACGACCGACACCGCGTCACTCCGTGTCTGCTTGCAACCTACACGAAGCAAAAACTGCAACCTGATTGGTCAAAGCTGCTCTCAGTGCAGGACTTCAATTCCCTCTACTCCACTCGATCGAGGTACCCAAACACATGTTCCCCCCCACCCGGGAAGCCTGCTGACTCAGTGAAACCAGACAAGCCACTGCGCTCGACTTTCACAACAACCCCCACCCACCAGTGCCCATCTTGCGCAATTTGGGCCTCCAACTTGGTTGCTGCTAGCACCTACAGTACAATCAGGGTAAAAAATATACCTACACTGATGCCTCTGGGTAAAGTTTTCAAAACTTCAAATTACACTGATCCATCAGTGTTACCAAAAAAAGACACACTGCTCAAAGGGTTTTGAAAATGTCTACACTGCTAATCGTGAGTAGGTAAAAACCAAACCTGAGCCCTGCTCCCAGCGTCTGATTTCCTAGCGTGACGCTTCCCAGCGTTTAGGCTATGGCCGTCCCTGCCGGCGGACCGTGCGATGGGGAGCCCGTGCTTTCCGCCCTAGACTTCCTAACGCGGGGCAAGCAGATCGCTTTCTGCTGCCCCTCCGATTGCGTCGACCTCTGCTTGCGGTACCTTTGCCCAACTCGGAAAATGGCGATCAACACGTGCCAGCAACGACTACCCCAACAACGCTGTTATCCCCTCCGCTCCCTGACGAATGTGCAAATAAGAGCATCCCTCCAGTGTCGGTCGCTACAACCTCTTGCAGTGCTAACCCCGTCTTGCCTGACAGATCTTTGAAGAAGCGGTATAAACAGCGTGTTCTCACCGTCTGCCGTCCGGGCGGTCCGACTCAGCCAGCACCGGCAGTTCTTCCGCGCCCCGCGGAACCAGAACCTGAACCCGCGACTGAAGACTTCGAAGACCCGAAGGGCAAGCAACTGTCGGTTGAGGAGCTTCAGTTGAAGTGCAAGCAGCAGTGGCAGCGGTATTTTCCTTGGCTCCTCATCTCCGAAAACAAGGCAGGCCGCCCGTGCATGCGTTGCAGCGTCTGCATGGTCTTCGGTGACCTGAACTACAAATACGGGCGTAACGGCGATGGCGGCATCGACATCCAGAAGCAGACGATGCGCAAGCATCACCACAGTCTGAAACACGAGGCCGCGGTCTTGAGGAAGGAGGAGCGCGACGGCGTCAAGAAAGTGCAGAAGTCAATTGCTGACTTCCACCGTGGGGGACGCTGATGTTAAGCGTATTGCTCGCTTGATGGCTATCGTGCTATTCATTTGCAAGTCTGACGCTCCCATTGTTCTTTTCGTGGCTTTGGTTCAATTCATGGCAGAGCAGGGGACACCGGATTTGCCCCTGAAGGAGAACGGGACGTACTACAGCGAGTAAGTGTCCCGTTTTACTCATCTTTTTTTGTTATTTGTTTAGGAGTCTAACGAGTATCAACCCGTGGTGTCTCAGGTACGGCTTCGCACAACTGGTCGAGACCATGGTGTGCTACCTCAAGTCCCGCCAGCTGAAGCACATCCGCAACAGTCCGTACCTTGGCATCCAGCTAGACGAGAGCACCGACCGATGGCGGGGGAAGCACATGATCGTCTTTTTGACGTTCATGCGTGACAATGCACCCGTGACGGAGTTCTTCGCCTTGCTCAGTGTGGAGCAGTGTGACGCCGCGTCACTCACCACAGTGCTCCTGACGCATCTGGAGAGTACCGGCATCGACCTACAGCGCCTCACCGGTATAAGCACTGATGGTGCTTCCGTCATGCTTGGACAGCACAACGGAGTCACCGCGCGCCTGAAAGTCAAGGTTCCTCACCTTGTGTCGTCTCACTGCATCGCGCACAGGTAAGCGTTGTTACTGCGCGTTTCCTGCCTACTTTTTTTAAAAACACCCGTGCTAATGTTACCATCTGCTGTCTTGCAGGGAGGCCTTGGCGGCCAAGGATGCTGCCGCCAAGCATCCTGACTTCAACGTCGTGGACAAGGTGGTCCGCGCCGTGGCTGAGAACCTCGGTCGTTCCTGTGTTAACCACGCCCGGTTTCAAGAGCTTCAGGAGGTCATTTGCGAGACCCATCTTGAAGTTCAAGGCATCAAGGACGTCAGATGGTTGTCGCGTGGTGACGCCATCCAGCGCCTGGTGAAGGTTTTTCCTGCTGCAGTCATGGTGTTGCACGAAACAAACAAGAAGATGTATCAAGTCGTAACGAGCTATAAGTTCCATTTCCTGTTGTTCTTCCTTTCTGACGTCTTGAAGGAGCTCAACCTGCTAAGCTTGAAGTTTCAGCGGCGTCAGGTAAGCAGTTTCCCGAGTTACACGTGGCCGGTTTTTTCATTTACAATCTCTTACTAAACCATCCTGCTTGTGCACCCCCGTTTACAGGTTGAGGCAACCCATGTGCTGCCGATGGTGCACAACACGACCTTACTGCTGCGCACACGCTACCTCGACTGCGACGACGCGATGTTTGGCCAGGGTGGAGACGCGTTGGGCCCGTTCCTCGACAAGCACGCATCTGGGGAGTTCCGCGAGGTCCTCGTTGCTGGCACTGCTTCCGACGGCACATCGGTCAGCCATCGATACCGACTGCACGAGGAGAAAATCAAGGGGCAGACGAGCGGCGCGGACCACCAAGCGTGTTTGGTGCTGGCGCGCGAGTTCATCACGACCCTGGTCGGCCGGCTCGACTACCGCCTCAAGGACCTGTCAAACCTCGACGGGGCGAAGCTGCTCAAGCAGAGATCCTATCCCAAGAACCAGGCAAAGCGTGAGCGACGGCTAGGCCAATGGCTCCAGTCTCTGCGCAACATGTTCAAGCGGAAGCCAGATGACCCTGACACTATACCAGGTGCGTTAAATGCCGGGAATGAGCTGTATGTTTAGCGTTGTTTTCCACATGCTTGTCTAAACACTACATCACCAATTCCAATGTTCCCATGTGCACCCCAACCGCAGGCATCAGCTGGGCGAGAGCGCAGCGAGAGCTTGTCACCTTCTCTACCATCCTGGCCACACACCAAGAGGATGTCGGGTGTGCGGACAGCCTGAAACTCATGCTGTCCTCCCCCGACTGGGCGACGTGC